AAAAAAAAAAAAAAAACAAAAAAAAAAGAGGAAAAAAAGAATAATATTTATGCAATCATTGAATCAGATGAGAATATGGATCACACGCTATTCCATGTCCATGTCAAACATGACATCTATTCATAATAAATAATAAGTATTAGATGAAACTCTAAAATAAAACTTCACGACATCAGAATAATAAATACCGTGTGGTTGTTGATTGGCGTCTTCGTCACCACTCTCACCGCCAGAAACAATGTTTCCGCTGGCATCGACCTTTTTTTGAACTCCCGGAAGAGTCGATTGTGGAGGGGCTAAATGACCTGCAACTTGAGCTGTGGTGCCGTTACTAGGCTTCGTTGTATTATCATTATTGGAATTATGTTGTATAGTAACACCAGGTACATAAGCCAAGTTGGTAGGTGGTGTCTTAGCGAGAGGAGAAATTTGCAAGGTTAAGAAGTGTAGTCCGATCGTAAATGATTCTACTACCTAGTTTCAAAAAGTAATAAATTAGACAACTTTGAAAACTTTTTGATAGCATAGCGATGATCGAATAATGAGTGATCGAATATTAAACCAGTAATCATTGATAGGACTCAATGACTTATATAAAGTCAGTAAAATATCCAGAGCGCTAAACTAACCTCCAGGTGTACTAGAGTAAATCGTTCCTGATGGTGTTGTACTATAGTTGGCTGGAAGCGATGAACCAGGATCGGCTTTTTTCATCGCGGGTATATCTCTTGCTATCGACATCGTAGTTGGTAACAGAAAGGCAATTTTAATTTAATCACGATGTATTCCAATAAATCTCTCGATGCGATCTAGTCCCTTCTTTGAAAATTGCTTTGTCAAAGACCAACAAAAGGTGGCAAAGACAATTAAAAATGCCTAATGACCAGCTTTTATTATTGCACGCCTCATTTCATATTTTTTTCCCTTTAAAGTGTGCATTTGATTCAATAATAGATGTGGCGCTATAATCAGGTGATTAATTAATTTACAGTTTTTTTTTTAATATTTTAAACGCCAAAAGTAGTAAATTACTATATTATCGTTATCGTTATGTATACGTAGTTTAAAAATAAAGCACATTTAATTGATTGCATTATTGTTTTCCATCATATGTATTAGATCCAATAAAATTTTTTTTAATTTATGGTGTATCTTTAGATGCAATGAACTTTAACCTTTTTACATTTTATGTCACGTAATTTATGTAATGGTCACTCTTTTAAGGGATCTATACACCGCATTTATTTCTCGCATCTAATACACAAAATTTTTATATATGAATTAAAGTAATATCCAAGTTATGTGTGTATGTAACGTAAAACGCCATTTAACAATACCCCCGGTGTAAAGTACCCCTGGGAGAAGATTTTATCAAGAGTTTGGATCCTGATTCTCCTTTGGATTTAAATCCCGAGTCTGCAAAACAAACGTGATCTGAAATATAAATGATCGAAGGATAAAACTATTCGGCCATTTGTAAATTTCGTTATAATAGTGTGATAAATCCTTTTTAGTAGTCGAATGCATTTTCATCAAGTCTGTAATCAAATAAACACGTGTTAGCATGTACTCACGAATATCGCTGGAATATATTATTCTTTCACCAATCAAGATAATTTTATAATTCGGATTTAAATTCGAAGCTAAAATGGAGATTATAAAAAGGGATGATTATACAGTGTTCATCCACATAAATACCGATACACTTTTGCGTGAATATAG